GCAGATTCATCTCAGAAATCCTCCGCTATCCGATTAATCCCCAAATCATTTATACTCTCAAAATCACTCGATATCCTTATTAATCCCCAAATACCTTCTTAATCACATCTATATTCTTCAATTGGGACTAAACCGAGATATATACACGGAGTGACCGTGCAGACTGAAGCAGAATACATATAGTAATCGAAAGGCTCGATAGGATTCGAACCACCACAAAATAAAATTCGGCTTTAAATCCACCTCAAATCCACTTAATCGTGCCAAACTGTACACGCTAACTATTAACTTTAGAAATATCACAATGGTGAAATTTATTTTTGTGACAAATTTCACCATTTGAGTAAAAAATAGGCAGTTGCCTATATACATATTACAGCCTTAATTATAATTGAAAATTCCCTTATATATTTTCAAAAATTGGTTGAAAAATAGAGCCCCACGCTCTATTAGAGCCCCACGCTGTAATAAAGCCCCACTTTGAAGGATAGTTGAAAAATAGAGCCCCATGGGGCTCTAATACAAAAAATACGGTATATAGCTGCAAGTTCAAAACCTCCTTTTCGCATTCATTTGCATTTTCTTGGTCAGAAACACAATTATTCAATGCCTGGTAAGAATTTCTTCAGAAAAAGTGTATAATTAATTTTGTGGTTAATTGAGATAGTCGGCGATAATTTCTAATTTGTTAATGTTTCATATACATAAGTCTATTGCTGTAAATAGATTAGCAAGAGATAGATCTACTGGGATGTTCACACTTTTTGACGATTCTCTAAGATTTATAGTTAAGGAATAGTGAACATAAAATTACAGCATTTTAATACCAAAAAATTTACTTTAAATCTTCTTAAACAATTTATTCCTATTTAGAGCTTATGCACCCAATAGAGTATTTTAAATTTTATGAACAAAATCAAGAAAAATATTTAATGTTGGCAAGGAAAAGAGCTTTAGAAAAGAATTTATTAGGCAACCATAGATTAATTAAAGTTGAAGAAATGCCAAAAATGTGGGATTTATTAAGAAAATCAAAATATTATTTAATAAATGTCCATCCACTTGGACAATTTTCCTTTCCAAATATTCCAAAAAGAATTGTTAATATTGGAGGGATTGAAGTAGAAATTGAAGGGATTTTGAATGAAATTGAGGAAAAAAAAGAAATTGAAAGAAAAAAAGGAAAATAAGGGTTTAACTGGCTTTTTAAAAAATAAACTAATTGAATATTTACCTGAAGAACCTGTATTTCGATGGATTAAAAAGGTATTTAATACGACACAGTGCCGAACCAGATCCGGCCGGATTTTTTCGGAGTCCGAGCCTTCTGAGGAGAAAACCCAGTGAGGAGAAAACACAGAACTGGACTTGGTATGAAGTTATGGATTTATATGCTTTTAAGAGGCCGATACAGTAATGGTTTCCTTGGAAAATTTCCAACCTTGTAACATTTTCTTTTAAGTATAATTTTTATGTATATTCCTAATATAAACCTTATTACCTATATTATTTAGAAAATCTAAAAAAATGGACAATTTTGGCTTCTTTGCTTTTCAGGATTTTAAAACTTATATGAACTTATGGCGTTGAATTTATATAATTTTGGTTTCTTGGCCGTCTGTTAATTTTACCGTTTGAAAAATCAGGCCAGATCTGTTTCAGTATCAGTGAGAAATCCAAAATCAACTCTTTGATAATTTAATAAGCTTGTATTTTGCGAATATTTTTGAGCTTAAGTTCGGGGCGAAGTTTTCTTAAAATTCAATGAAATTTTAAAAGAAATTTTTGTGTTTTGCTGAATTACTTATAATATTTTATTTTTAATTTTTGACTTTTCTCAAATTTCCAATTTCCTTTACAGACAGATTGCTTTGTTTTATTTTATATGGGTAAAACCGCTACCTTCAAAGGATTTACACACGAATATTTTAATGAATTAGTAAACACATTTTTGAAATATGACAAATGTAGATTTGTTGTTCAACTCAAAAACGGATTTTATCCATCAGTAATACTAAAAGATGATCCATTATTTCAAGTGGAATTAGAAGACAATGTTTACAGAAATATATATTTTTACACAAATGTGGTAGATCTACAGATATTTTTGGGTAAAATTTTATTAAAGAATTTTCTTTTCCAGAAGATAATGGTTCCATTGAAATATCTAAACTAAAATATAGAGAAACTATTTCAGAAACTGAATTTAGAAATTTTCAAATAGAGTATTTAATTTCGACATTATTTTTATTACCTTTTTAAAACTAACAAAAATTCCCATATTTCAGCACAGAAGAATCTTCGCGGTTTTATTACTGCCGGTGATCAAAAATGCTTTGATCAGGTATCTAATTACAATCTAACGTATATTCTGAAATAACTACCCCCTTCAGCGAAAGATCTAAATAATAATTAGCCAGGGTAATTATTTCAGCATTTACGATAATGCCGTTTTCCGGACAATTTGTCGAAAGGGATTTGAAAATGTCTGGTTTTCAAATAACTATAAACCATTGTAAATTTTACATTACTATTAAATGCGTGTACATATCTTTATATCGATACATTTATGAGAATAATCTGAAAATTTTATGAAGCTGCGATCTTTTCGGAATTAGCCACCCTGTTGTAAAAACCAATTTAATAACGACTATAATGGTATTTAAATATTGAATTTGAAATTTTAAGAAATAAAAATATTTAACAAATAAAATTTTTTTACAAATTTTAAATAAAATTCAATAATTCTACAGGCTCTTTATCGTGGAATTCCTTTAATTTTAATTCCCTTCACTTTTGAAGAAAAGTTTAATGCTAAAATTGCAGAATATATGAAAGTTGGGATTGTTGTTGATCATACAAAATTTGTTCAAGAATTTTCTGATGCCTTTTATATACTAATGAGGTTATTCTATATGTGATTTAAAAAAATAAGATGGGAATGGTATCCTGTAGATTTGATCAAACCTTGTCTTTAAATAACAAATATATCAAGATCTTAAAATATTTTAGAATAAATCACTATCAACCAAACATACTTGTTGAAAACGCCAATAAAATTAAAGGGGTAATCGACCAATTTCCCAAGGAACAAATTAAAACGTTTCTTGAAACTGTTGAGAAAGCTATAGAAGATAAAGACGAAGAAGAGCCATTCCCTGAAATGCCTACTAATTTTGAAGAAGTGTCTTTACTGTATTTTGGATACAAGCCGTTTTCATTTGTTTTAGAGGAATTTGTTAATTCGAAACAAAAATGAGAGTAATTGAGGGATTTGCGATGAAAAAATTGAAAGAATTTGTTCGAAGTCTACTCTCTATTTTACGTTCACATGGAATTGAAAACTGTACGTAAATTCAAGATACCTATTCATTTTTGGATACATTAAGTTAACAAAAATATTAGCAAAGTTTTTGTGTCTTTATATTCTAACAATTTAAATTAAATGTAATAAAACAAGCGGAATATTGAGACAGGGGGAATTGTGAAGCAGTCGGAATTGTGAAGCAGGCTGAATATTGAAGCAGGGGGAATGAAGTGGGATGTGAAGCAGGCGGAATGTTGAAACAGAGGGAATTGAAGCAGGCTAATATTGAAGCAAGGGGATTGTGAAGCTTTTTGAATCGATCTTGAGTTGAATAGTTTTGTTATGCTAGCAGATTCACAGCGCCTGTGTGTATCCTATCAGATGCACCTATTAAACGCGTTGCTTTCTTAAATGTTTTGGTAATAAGAAAATGTTTCGCTGGTCAATGTTTGTTAATCGAGTTTTTCTGATTATGATTGGAATAGGGCCAATTTTGAGGTTGTGATAAGTAGATAGGGATTTGTTTTTTGGATTGTTTTGTTTTTGCTAGCGGGGTGGGGCGGCCGAAGGCCGACCAACTCCGCTAATGTAATAAAATTAGAAACATTATTGTTGATATGTACATACACTCTGTTCCAAAAGTATATGCCCACCTATATTTTTAGCTTTATCCATGTGATATCGCTATGGATTTTTTTAAAATTTTTTATGATTAAATACCACGACATTTAGAAACAAAATACAAAAAAAATTCAAAAATATTTTCTTTCTATATTGTAAAAAATCAAAATCTAAACATTGAGTGTTCCAAAAGTATATGCCCACCTTTGTTTTATAGGTTTTTATCAGTGTGAAAAATCCACAAAAATTTTTGTGAACATATCTATCGATGTAGATAAGAAATACAAAAGAAATGAGGTTCCGATGTACTCCCATCATTGAGATCTTGAAGCCCAAAAATCAACGGAAAACCGGGGGTAGACGTCTTTAAAAAATATTTTCGCCCCTTTACGGTGAAATAAAAATTTTATTTTGGGCTTTTCGAGTCTGGCCGACGTTCGAGTCATTTTTTTCGGACCTCATTTTTATCGGGCCGGCCCGACCGAGTCTTTTTTGGGCCTCATTTTTATCGAGTCGGACGTCGAATCTATTTCGGGCCAAAATTCGATGCCCGACTCGATCTTTCGGACCAGACCGGGCCGGCAACTCAAATTATAGGTCAAACATTATTGGTAGATATAAACTAGGAAGGTTTGATTCATGATATAGAAACTATTATACTAATACTAACGAAATGATTATTAACTAGGTTTTATGGTTAAGAGTTTAGGCGTAACTGTATATGATGATTAGCAATACAAATCAATCCATTCGGCTCGTCTTTCAATTTTTACAAAAAAAACGCTTTCTACTTGATAAATTGGAAGTTTAAATTTCATTCCTCGCAATTTGTGGTCATATTTACATAACAGCTTTTTCTCTCATTTATTTTTCTAAAAATTTTATTTTCCGAAAGTAGCTGCGTCTTTATTTATAATTTAAATTTGTTTGTTTTTGGAATTTATTTAAGCAGATGTCAATGAAATTTAAATCCTTTTGCCAAAAAAAAAATAAATTTTGTAACAAGAACACTTAAAATAAAAAATTTAAATAGAAGATTTTTTTCAAAGATTTTTAATTTTTGTGACGAAAAATGAAGCAAATTAACAGTTGGATCCAAAAAATATTATTTCCTTTTCGTCACAAATGTCCAATTTGTCATGCTAATTGGAGCCATCAATTGCATGGATTTCACCAATACCTTCAAGTTTTGAAATTAATTTTTAAAATTTTTTGAAAAATATTTTTAAGGCAAAAACACCCTTTAAAAAGACAATCTGGGTTTTTACAATTTTTTATTTTTTACTTTTTGCACTTCATTATTCTGTTTTTTTATTAAATGATTATGTTGATAGAAGAGTGGTAAAATTTAAATTTAAAAAATTTTTTCTAATCAAAATTTTTTTTAAATTCAGATAACTTTAAATACAATACATCAAGTATATACAAAATATTTTTAATATCTTCTTAATTAAATTTTATTAGGTCAAAAGGCTATATTTCCCAAATATAACAATATGCCCTAAATATGTAGATTCACTAAATTTTACAGCTATAGAACAAGTTTTGTTTAAATAAATTACTTGAAATTAATATAAAAATTAATAAAAATAAACTTGGAAAATTAAAATAAAAATTGAAATAATAAACTAACAAAAGGATTAATTATTAATTAATATTAATTATAGACTTTGTCAAATAAACTTGTAACAGAGTGGGGGGTTTAGATTGTTTCCTTACTCAGTTTTAAGATTTCCTCTCCTTGAATTTTTAGTCCTAGCTTTTCCATATTTTCTACATTTGCTTATTTTGTCATACACTCTGTTCCAAAATGATAAGACCACCCTTATTTTTCACTGTAACTCGATGAAAGATAGCATTTTGGGATATTTTCCCCTTTTTGACACTTTGCATTTGTGTTTTGGGTAAGGCCATATACTGATTTGTAGTGTAAGGGAATGAACTTAAAAATTTATAATATAATACGAAATTTAAAGGATAAACATAAAAGCTTGAACACTAAACACTTTAAACCTGATTAATCAACTTCGACTAAAATAAATTTATACGAAATTAACTTCAAATATAAAATTCTAGATGTACATCTACGCCTGCCAAACATGACAAATAACGAAACAAACCAATTAATCCTCTATGCCATGGCAGGGGCAGGATTTCAACATTTTGATGTTTTTAATAATTTGGTTACAAAGGAAGAATTAATTAAATTAACGAAATTAATTAGTCAGTGGAGGGGGAATAGAACAAAATTGGCTTTTTATCAATTTATATTTGAAATAAATGGATTTAAATGTGAAGAGGTGTTTTTTGAGAAATTTTAATAATATTTTTTTTAATTTTTAAATGTTCCATTCTTGTATGTATGGGAAGAGACGTATTCCCTGTTGCGATATTTTTCGTCCAACTTGTAAATAAAAATAAATTAAATTTAAAAAATTTTCTTTTGAAGATGTAATGCTTAGAGGGAGATGTTTTAGAATGCGTGCTTTTGCCCAAACAGAGCCTGATGAGGCAGGGAAGTTAACTCTGTTTTTTAAGGAGATGTCATCTAGTTATCTAGCAGTGACTGGAAGACAGGCATTTTTTTAGAATTTAATTCGAAATTGAAAAAAATCCTTAATAATATTATAAACGGGTTCAGAAGTCAAATAATAATCTTATCTCTCTTTTATGCCGCAGGCGAAAATTATGAAGAGTTTAAAAGGCCAAACAGCCAGCTTTCTTCTATTTCAATTTCGAGAATCTAGGAAGTTCTTAAGAGATAAAATGGAATTTTATCTTAAAATCTACAAGAAAACAAAAAAATTCCCATGGTCTTAAAAAGCCCACAAAAATCCGCAAATCCACATTTTTAAAAATACTCCTCATTAACAATCAAAAAACTATAAAATGAGGAAAAATCCGCAAAAATCGAAGCATTGTCTATAATTAACAATAATTTGATTTTTTTTTGATTAAAAATTTAAATTAAAAAAACAATTTTTAAAAAATTTAAGCGTCAATTAATTGTCTATTTATCTCAACAATATGAAGATATACCAACATTTCCGCGTTTCTATTTAAATAATAATTATTGGTATAGACTTAGATTAAAGAAAAGACACATTTCTTTATTAAATGTAAATTTGGGAAAATTTATTTTTAAAAAAGTAATTATTTATTTTAGCCAAATCAACATTGCTCTCCCGTTGAAAAATATATTAAAAGAGGGAATTGTTATGTTGATTCTTGGTTAAAGTAATTTTTAATTAAATATTTTAATGTTCAAGACTAAAATACATAATTCAAATAAAAATATAATAATAAATAAGACCTGGATTTTTGGTTTTGTAGAAACTAAAATAGTTACCAAACCAGTAGGGATGTGAGAGAGTAAGAGAACACGGAACTTGGGAAACAGAAAATTAACAAAAGAGAATTAACTTAGGAGTTGGTTTAATAAATTTTTTATTTCAAATAAAACTGCCCCGAATTAAAAAAATTTTTTGGAAGGCCAAAATAAATTTCATCAAAAATATTTACTGAGCTAAAAATGCGGAATCGGGAAACAGAATTTTCAAAAATATCGGAATTCTGAGGAAAACGGCAAGAGATGATAACACATACATGATAGAGACCGGACTGGAAGTGTCGTATGAATATCGAGATCTCTAATAATTCTCGATCTCGATAACCGAGATTTTCGATTGAGATCCCGTCTTAATCCGGTCTCTAATACATAATATTCTCAGTTTTTATATTGACAAAAAATCTTTGGATCATATTCTATAATCTAAAGATCCAATTGGGCAAAATTCTTTAAAATATTCTCAATTTATTTTTTTTCAAGTGAACGTATTATTCAACCATTTAATTGTACAATATTTTATTTTTCTCATAAATATCCAAAATTGGATGTTTGTGACCCTGAAATAATTTTTAATAATTATTTTTCTATAATGAATGTTGTTGATAATTTATCTGTTTATCAAAGCATTTCTAAGGTATTTTTTCTAATTCTTTAAAAAATCCTTTAAAGAAAATTCTTTAGTGTCTTCCAAAGTGTGAACGTGATATTATTGACACACAATTATTTTCTAATAAATTTCAAGACCAAAGAAGCAATGTTGGGGCTAAGAACAAAAAATTCCATTTCCATTTGGAGGCTTCTTATGAAAATTTACAGGTGACAAAAATGGGCTAATTAAATAAAAATTTTTTGAAGACAAAAATGTAGGTAATATTTCCCTATCTTTTTGCACCCTGATGTCTTTTCCTTTTCTGGACACCCCAACTTACCGAATAGCTATAACTTCGTTCAGAATGATCGAATCCGGGACGCCCTAGTATGGTTCGATTCAGCTCGTCGAGGCGCATCGAAACATACAAGGGCAACTCTGAACGAAGTTATACTCTGCGGTAAGTTGGGCTCACGGTAAGTTGGCCTGCTCCCGTCCATTTAAATCTAACAAAAAATTTATTTATCAAAAATATCATTTTTAATCTCAAAAAATTATTTAGGAGGAAGTTTATGAAGAAAAATTGACTACAACACTTCCCGGTATTTTAAAGAATTTCAAAATTATTTTCAAAAAAAATTAAAGGTTTTATATCCCAAATTGGCGGCCAATTTAGTTTTTTTCTTGGAATGTCTTTAATTTCTCTACTTCAATTTTTCCTAATCCCAATAATTAATTTTATTGGAAATCTTGTAATTAAAATTAAAACATTTTTATTTTCTACAAAAAAAGAAAATTGTCAGGACGTCCAAATGATTTTTTATAAAACATATTTCGATGAAATGATTTCACAACATTAAATAAATTTTTTTATTTATACAATTTTGGCTACAAATCTACAGTCTGTTAAGAAATTATTATGCCAGGGAAATTTTTGCACTTTACCCCACTTCCAATTAAGCTGGAATTTATGCCTTTGATAGTTTACCGATAAATATTAAGACCCTCGAAGAAAACTGAAAATTTAAAAGAAAAAATATTTCATTTTCCAACTGTAGGAAATTATAGCGCCAAAACTTAAAATTTAACAAATTTCTCTGGAAATAAAAATAGAATCAAAAAATAAAATATCAATATTTGGTACATTTCTATTCAAATTTTAGTACAAATATAAGATGTTTTAGCATTGTGTGGGTGAGACGGAACGATTCCAACTATGTAATTATTTGAAATATTCTTAATTTTAATGAAAATACATATATGTAGGTATATTTAATTTAAAATTAAAAAAAAATTTTTTTTATTAAAAAATTATTTTAATTAATCAATATTAAAAGAAATATATTAAAAGAAAAAATTACATATGATAAAGTGTATTCACGTGCCTGCTCACTTAAAAGCATCTATTAAAAAGAAAGCTGAAATTTATAGGCTACTTAAAACTGATAAAATTAAATATAAAGAATTATATGATAGCATATCATTGCATATAAAAATTCAGTCTAGAAATTTTCATAATAAAAAACAAAATGCTTATATTACTAAAAATATAAATTCTATTCATAAATATCTTAAAAGATTTAAATTTACAAATAATGAAATCCCTGTGCTTTACCATAATAATAGATATATAACAAAATCAATAGATAAGTCTGAAATTTTTGCTGATATCTTTCTTGAAAATTTTTCTAATACAAATATGCAATATAACCACAATATCAATAACAGCAATCAAATATTTATTATCGAAGATATTGATTTTGACATAATTGATATTATCAATTTCATTAAAAAATTACCAAATAAAAATGGGACTTCACCTGATAATATAAATTATAAAATATTAAAAATTGCACTTCCGTCTATAGCTCCTGTTCTGTCTGAAATATTCAGAATATCACTAGATTCAGGTATATTACCAAAAATATGGAAAGAATCTATAATTATGCCACTATTCAAAAAAGGAGAAAAATCTAATCCTGAAAATTATAGACCCATTGCATTAACATGTGCCTTATGCAGAGTCATGGAAATGGTTCTTAATAAATACATCGTTCAATTTCTTCATGACAATAATTTATTTAGTGATAATCAATTTGGATTTATAAAAAATAGATCCACTACAACACAATTAATTACTACATTAGAAGATTGGTATGATGCAATAATGGGAAAAAAGAATATTGACTGCGTATACATTGACTTCAAAAAAGCATTTGACTCAGTACCACATGATCTTTTACTCAATAAATTATATAAAATAGGTATTAGAGGAAAGATTTTAACTTGGATTTCATGTTTTCTTTCAAATAGAACTTTTAGAGTCAAAATAAACAACACGTTATCCAAACCTAGAAATATTAAATCAGGTGTACCACAAGGATCCGTTTTAGGCCCATTATTATTTCTGATTTACATTAATGATTTACCTGATATAATCCCAAATGGTATAAAAATTAAACTTTTTGCTGATGACGTCAAAGTATATGTTATACATAAAACTAAAAATGAAAGAAGAATGCTAACTGATGCTATCAAAAATATTGAACAATGGGCAACTGAATGGAAATTAAATATTGCTATTAATAAAACATATATCATTTATCTTGGTAAAACTAACCCTAAAGATCAATATAAAATTTTTAATACAACTATAAATGAAGTAGATTCTATACGTGATCTAGGCATCATAATAGATAATAAACTCAAATTTCAAGAACATGTACAAAAAATTATTCGGGCAGCTTATATAAAAATGAATTTTGTGTTTAAAATAATTAAATCAAAATCTATAAAAACATGGCTTACTATCTATAAAAGTTATATAAGACCCTTGCTTGAATACTCTCCTGAAACATGGAATCCACAGCTAAAATCTGATATTATCAAACTCGAAAAATGCCAAAAATTCTTTACAAAAATCTTACTTCGAAAATGTTCACTACCCTATATACCATATTTACAAAGATTGGAATTTCTTAATCTTCCTACTCTTGAAAATCGTCGTAAGACTTATGATTTAGTATTAGCTCATAAAATCCTACACGGGTATACACATCTTAAATCAGATGATCTTTTTAAAGTATCAAATAGAAAAAACTGTTATTTGTTATCTAAAAATCAAACATCAAAATCTTCCAATTCATTTGTTAATAGGGTAACCAAGATGTGGAATGTTTTAAATGATGAACTCAGAACTACAAAAATAACACTTAGTTTTAAAAATAAAATAAAAGCAATACTCATTCAGTAAATCTACAATTTTGAAAAAATATTCTGAATTCTAATTTCACTTACCTATTTGGAAAAAATATTCTAAATTCCAGTTTCACTTTCCTATTAACAAATTAAATCCAAAAAATCTTAGATCTAGAAAATTTTCCAATTTCATCACAAATAGCATCATTCAGAATTGACAGCTATTTCAAGCTCAAAGCCTCTAAATTCTTACAATGTTTAAAAAATCGTAGTAAAATTTCAAAATTTTTCATGTTACATGTCCAAGATTCAAATGTTTATTTTGAATGTTAATTTCTTAGGAAGAAATAAAATGTTATCAACTTTATAAGAAATAAATAAAAAATATTTACTTTATATAAAAAATCCTCTGTTAAACGTAATTTTTCCATTTTTTTTTTTTATGATCAAGTAAAGAATGTAAAGATAATTTATCAAATAGTCTTTTACTTAAATTCATAAATTTCCAAAAATTAAGGGTTTTTTACTAATTGAATATGAACTAAACATATTCTCAGAATTC